TTTACTTATATGCGGGATCTAAGGAATAAAAAGAACAAACTAATCAAAAACAGACTCACAAATGTAGATAATTTGGTGACAGACAGAGGGGGGTTTGGGGGGTTGGGAGAATGGAGTGAATGGTTAAAGAAGTACAAATTAGTAGCCGATGAATGGCCACGGGGATGGGGAGCACAGCATAGGGAATGCAATTAGCATTAATACATTGGCTAGGTGGAGGGTCAGGGGAGTGAGGGAGCAATTGGGGAGATCATTTTACTAACTATATAGATGTCTAACCAATGTACTGTATACTTGAAACTAATTAAAATTTTAAAAATTTTAAAAAAGAATATGATATAAAAACACTTTGAATCAGCTGCTGATAACTATTTTGGGGGTATTTTCTTCTAGTATTTTCAACACACATTGTTAATAATTTCACATCTTCCTTTTAAAAATATAAAAACCATTCTATCATCAGCAGAAATAACCAATTCTTTGTGGACCTTGTAAGCAAATATTAAGGGCTGCAGTGATGCACTATGCCATCAGGATGCACTTGCCACGACATGAGTAGCAGCCATAGTGCTGCCCTGGACATCTCGAGGACATCACTGACCACTGCTGACTGGTTCTTGAGAACTGATTTTCTGAAGGGAGACTAGAGGCCAGGGGCAGTGAGCAGTTTTCAGGCTTCAGAAACTTATGCTGACCTGCCTTCCCGGAGGCCTGTCTCATTTTACACCCTCACCAACAGAAAAAGGGTGCTGTTAAAGGGATTCGAAGTCATGATAGTCTCAAAATACCTCCACATAAGATACTTATTACCAGGAGAAAAGGAGCTTTACAATGGAGAAAGCTGGCAGACTCCACCTTGCTCAAGAGATCAAAGAGAGACCCTAGCACATTACTCAGACATTCCTATCTAGGATGCTTCGTCTGCAGTCTGTCCTGAGGAGGGATTGGAAAAGCTCAAAGTCATGGACATTCTATAACATCTTTGCACTATTCTTTCAATTTTTCAGTAAGATTTAAATCCTGTCAAAGTCGAGAGTTTAAAAAATTGAGTTATGTTCAGAATGAGGAGAATAAAGATTATCTGCTCCTTGGCCCAGCTGATGGGAGAAAGTCAGAGGGGCATCCAGTCTCTCCTTAGCTTGGCTTCTGAGGAGGGAGCAGGGCCTGCACTGTGCGAGGAGGTGGCCCATGACAGGGAGGAGACGGCACATGGATGGTGCCGGTCCAAGGTCCATCGGGGATGTCTGGACAGGAGGGACAGAGGTGGTTCAGAGGCTCATGCACTATGGGAGGGATGGGAGACTATCACCAGGACTTGTGCAGTTTTAATTTGGAGAGTGGTTTCTTGTCTCATGCCTAATCATGATTTTCTTTTACACACTGACTTTGATACTGACAGAATCCAGGAGAGACTGTAAAAGGGCCTGTCAGCCTCAGGAGGCCAGGGAGATAGATGAGAGATGGTGAACTGGGCACATGGATTTTGCCCCCCATTGGGTGCCCTCAATCCCCAGAAATGACATAACATACATTTAGAAATGGCATTAAAGAGAAGGGGGCAGCAAAAGCTGATAGGGAGCTTTGGGGGAGGGAAGGCAGACAGGGTGCGGTTAAGAGGGGAAATGCAGTCCAACACAACTCCAGGAGGAGGCCCTGGAGGGCGGGGTAGCTCTGGGTGGCACAAAGGGGCAGGGGGCCCTGGACAGAATTGCCACAGCCAGTTACCTCCTCAGTCCTCGCCTCTCTCTTGTTCCCAGTTCCTGGCCAGCAACCCAGGGAGATACGTTTGCCCTAAATTCAGAATAGTGAGGACTGAGCTTGGGTCAGAGTGGTGGGGCAACTAAGTCTATATGTCCCCAAACTGACTGGTAGTGTGCATGGGCCACACATCCTAGTCTCCATCAGAAAGATTAATTATAATAGCTAGCAAGCACCGAGTATTACCCTGGGCCAGAATGAGGAACTTACATTACTTAACCTGTAAGATGGGAATCATTGTTACCCCTAATGAGGAAACTGAGGCAAAGAGAGGTAAGAAGCTCACCCAAGGCTCCATAGCTGTAAGTCGCTATGTGGAGACTGGCTCTGGAAAAATTTGCATTTGCAGTAAAGTGAGTAGGGTATGTTTAGCATCAATGTGAAGAAAGCCAATGTGTTAATGTGAAGATGAGCCCATTTTTATGGCAATCATTTGAAGCAAATCATCCCAGAAATGCAAAGGTAGTTTAACATGTATAAACCAATCCATGTAACATACACTATAACAAAATGTGAGAGAAAATTATATGATCATTTCAACAGATGCAGTAAAAGTATTTCATAAAATTTAAAACTTATTTTGAATAAAAGTCTTAGCAATCTAGGAATAGAGGGGACTTCCCCAGTCTGATAAAGGGAAGTAGGGTGGGCTGAGAAATGGCCCTCATAAATGTCCACACCCCAATCCCCAAACCTGTGACTTTGTTCCCTTATTGGTAAAGGGGACTTTACAGATGTGATTAAGTTAAAGACCTGGATATGGGGATCTGGGATTACCCAGATGGGGCACTTGATATAATCATAAAGGTCGTTATAAGAAGGGAGCATGAGGGTCAGAAACAGGAGGAGGAAGAGGTATGACAACAGAAACAGAGGTCATGAAGAATGGAAGATGCTACCTACGCTGCTAGCTTTGGAAATAGAGGAAAGGGCCACCAGCCAAGGAATGCAGTCAGCTTCTAGAAGTTGGAAAAGGCAAGAAAAGGATTCTCCCTCAGAGTGTCCAGAAGGAACATAGTCCTAGAACACACCTATCCTGTAACATTCATTTCAGACTTCTGACCTCCAAAGCTGTAGGATAATATATTTATGTTGTTTTAAGCCACTGAAGTTGTGGTAATTTGTTACAGCCACAAAAGGAGATAAATACAGGTACGTACAAGAAAGCTCTAGGTGAAATTTTGAATGTTTTCTCGATCAAGGAACAAGACATGGATACCTATCTTTGCACTTCTAGTCAATGTTGCAGCAAGGTTAGAAAAAGAAATTAATGTATAGGATTGGAAAAGAAGAGAAAATAATGTCATTCAAGGTGACATGATTGTATAGCAAAAAAATCCAAAGAATCTACAAACAAAATGGTTACAATTAGATCAATTAGAAGATCTTACTGCGAAATTGAAATAAAACTTATAGAAGATACAATAAACAGAGATCTTCATGAACTTGGGGATCAGCAAAGAATTTTAAAAGAGGACGCAGAAAGCACTAACCGTAAGGAAAGGATTGTTAAAATGAACTGCATTAAAATTTGGAACTCTTGTTCATTAAAAGTTACCACCAAGAAAGGCAATTCACACAGTAGAGGAAGGTATCTGCAATGCTTAGAACTAGCAAATGTCTTATATCCAGAATATATAAAGAGCTCCTAGAAATCATTAAAATAAGATGAAAGACAACCCCATAGAAAAGTGGGCAGTAGAGAAAAACAGGCACTTCGCAATACAGAATCATCAATGGCCTATAATCAGGTTGGTCACGAGGGAACATGAGATACTAACACATATCCTAATGACTAGGTAGTATTAAAAGAATCAACAACGTGTCAAATGTTGAAAAGAATGTGGAGCAATTGGAACTCACAACTGTTAGTGGGACTGTGAATTGGTACAATTTCCCTGGAAAATTGTCCAGCTTTATCTACTAAAGTTAAACATATGACCAGCAATTCCATTTCTTTGTATACACTCAAGAGAAGTGGGTGCTTATGTCCCCAAAAAGCATGTGTAAGAATATTCATAGCAGTATTATTTGTAATAGCTATAAACCAGTAAGAACCTAAATGTTCATCAGCTTTAGAAAAAAATAATACATTGCTGGCATATGTGCACAATAGAATACACAGAGCAACAACAAAGAAGGGACTTCTGCTACATGTGTCTCACAGACATGATATTGAATGAAGAAAGCCAGAACCAAAAGAGCACAGAGCGATTCCATTTATGTGAAGTTTGAGAACGGATAAATGATTCTATGATAGTAGAACATTGGCCATCTTTAGGGGAAAGGGCAGATGGTGAATAGGTGGAGGGTATGAAGTTGTATACATTTGTCAAAACTTATCAAACCATATACTTGAGATTTCTGCATTTTACTGTATATGAATTATATCTCAGTGAAGAAACAAAACAAATCCAACATCCAGACCCTTCACCCTTAGTGTAATGAGCAGTTCAGCACAAGCATCCATGGGTAGAAGAAAGTACTGGGTGACTAGCTGGTGGAGATCTGTGATGGCCACCACTTGAACCCACTGATCACAGCATGGCCAACAGTGAGGCAGCTAGATGAGTGGGCTTTTTATGAAAGGTGGTAGGAGGCACGCAGCCCACCTAGGAAGTAGTCTGTGAAAAACATGGAACATGTATCCTATCAAGCATCTAATGTCCAATTAAAGGAGACATGGGGAACAGAGAAACAGTTTCAATGACAGCACTAGGAAGAAGATATATCACAGAAGACATTCTACAGGATAATTAACACCATTTCTCAACAACTAAAGGCACAGAAGATGAAAGGACATAGGGGAGTGGCCATGCTAGATTAAAAGAGACTGAAGATGTTCCGATCTTATTTGAATCCTGATTAGAATGAATTATCTATAGGAAGACATTTCTGTGGTCTGGCTAACTTCATTGTGAGCTTATAAGAAAATGTCCCTATTTTTGAAAAAATGCACATTGAGGTATGTAGGGATGAAATGGCACATCTGGATTTTACTTTAAAATATTTTGGCAAAGACTGAAAAAAAAAAAGAGACAGAGAAAGAATAGATGAAACAAATGTGGAAAAATCTTGTCTACTGTCCAATCTGGTGATTGGCATGTGAGTTCATGTGGGTTTGCTGGACTTACTCTCTACTGGGCAGGTTCAGATTTTTGTAATTAAAAGAAAGAGGAAATGGGAGGCTGGGGTGAGCTGAAGGGTAGGAGCTCAGCCTCTGAAGGACAGGCTTAGGGAACATGCTCACATCTGCACACTTCTGCAGAAGGATCAGACTGGCCCGTAAGCCCAGGGATCCTGGGGGTGGGTGGGGGCAGTGCAGGAACCAGGAGGGAGTCTGAGAAGCCAGGGTATGGAGCAACAGAACAGGGGCTCAGAGGATGAGGTACACACACAGCTAGCTGCCTACTCTTCTTCCTAACAAGTGGCAGCCATGTGCCTAGCTGAAAAGCTACACTTCTCAGACCCCCTTGCAGATACTGATGGCCCCGTGACAAATAGAATGTAATCAGAAATTATTGGGTGGGGCTTCTAGGGAGGACCTTTTCCCAGGGAGGACTGAGTTGGCAGGTGGGCAGTTTTGCTCTTCTCTATAGTCTTTCTCCCTGTCTGAAATGAGATGTGATGACTGGAGCTACAGCAGCCATTTTGTGACCATGTGACAACCTTGTGGTTGAAAGCCCTATAGATAAAGATGGTATAGGAGAAAGAATTGGGACCTGGTCTCCTGGATGATTTTGTAGAACTGTTATTGGTAGAGCCTCATGGGGCCCTGCATTACCTCCCATGTTTCCCATTACTGGAGGGAAAAAATCCCACTTTGTTTATATTCCTGTTATTTCAAGTCTCAGTAACCCATTTCCTAACCACTAGACCAACAGGGAACACTCAGTAACCCATTTCCTAAATGGAAACAGAAGCATTTCCCACTGCCCTTCACACTAAAGACTAGGTCTGAAGGTGTCTGGGCCTGAGGGAGAAAGTGTGCCTCCCACCACCTGGGACTTCAGCTCCCAGCTCCAGAGATACCTTTGCCTTTTTTCCCATGTTTCTTTTTTTCTTCAGTGATTGAAAAAGAACCGTTGTCTGTGTTTTCCAGGGTGTTCTCTGGGGAGACACAAAAGTGAAAGTAAATGACTTATTTTGTGATATCTATGAATACAACATGAGGCCATGGAGAGACTCAGACATACTAGGGCTCCAGCCCCAGTGCCCTCACTTGCCTAGTGAGTGGGCTTGACAAGTCACTTGGCTTCTCTGAGCCTCAGTTTCCATATCTCTGTTAATCATGCTGGCCTTGCTGAAAAGTTGTAAGAACTGTGCAATAAAATGGCCACAAAAGTTCTTAGCACATGTGTCTCAGCACATGTGTCTGGCACATTTTTTGTGCCTTCCTTTTCATACCTTTCAATTTATTCCTAGCAGCACAAGACCATTATACAGAGAGGTCATGGGCACTAAGCCTCTGTCTTTCACCCTGCCAGCGCTTTTGCTTGAGCTGCCCAGTGCTTCTGTCAAAGTTGCACCAGAAGACTTAGAGAATCCCATTTCTTTGTTGTTCTCTCTTCAACTGATACCCACAGGGAAGGCCCCACACTTCCACTCACCCCAATTTTTGTAGCTTGGAGTTTTCAGTCTATGCCAGCCCAGGAGAGTAGCCAGCTCAGAGGGCAGATGGGGTGGGGGTTGCCAGAGTGTGTGGAGGTGTGTTTTGGTGGGCAGCTCTTGGACCAGCGTTGGGGAGGGTGACCTGGGATGATAAAGGAGAAGTGAGGGCCTGGGAGGTATAGGGGATATGATACCAAGGGCCAGGCCCTGACTAGATGGGTGATGAGGTATGAGAAGACTGAGTAAGAGAAGAGTCCTGTGGGACTGGCAGGAAGGTCAGTCAAATGCCTTCAGGGCCAAGCAGCATATATAATGGTTAAGGAAAAGTAGTAGTAAGGAACGATGAGGCCTGTGGAGAACTTGGGCACAGGTTGCTGAATCTTTACTATTTTCTCTCTTTCTTAGTGACTATATGGTTAAATTTCCAGGGAGTAAATTTTAATTAACCATATTATAAAAATCAAAAGACACCATTATGATTTAAATAGACCAAAGCTGAAAACAAACAAGCCAAAACTCTAATAAAATTTAATTTTTTCTTAATTAAAAAAACAATGCACATATGTAGCAAATTTTCTAACAATGCAGGCTCGATGTGTTGACATGATGATAAATCCTTACCTGAAGCCCTCATGACCAGACAGATTTTTGTCTATCTACTCAGAGGTATTTTATGCATACACACATTTAGATCTCTCTCTCTTTTTCACTTAAAATGCATCTGCTTAGTTGCTAAAACATAGATAAACCTTGAGTACATCATACTAAGTGAAAGAAGTCACAAAAGGGCAAATACTGTATGATTCTACTTATATGAGGTCCCTAGAGGAGTCAAATTCATAGAGAGAGGAAGTAGAATGGTGGTTGCCAGGGGCTTGTGGGGAGTGGAATGGGGAGAGTTAGTGTTTAATGAGTACAGAGTTTCAGTTTTGCAAGATGAAGTCAGTTCTGGAGATGGATAGTAGTGATGGTTTCATAACAGTGTGAATGTACTTAATGCCATTGAATTGGACAAGTGAAAATGCTTTAAATGCTTAAAACTAAAAATGCGTAAATTTTGTTATGTGTATTTTACCACAATTTTTTAAAAGTTTAAAAAAATACATCTGCTCATGCACAAGGCTCATCACTACTCAGCCAGGTCTCCTGGTGGACCCTGACGGTGTTTGCAAACTTCTGCAATGGCTACTCTGTGTTACCAAGCTGAGCTGGACTGTTTCCCACACACCTGGGACTTTGTCAGTCTGAAAAATGGCATCTCGGTTTTGATTTGCATTTCTCAATTATGTATGAGATTGTGTTGTTTTTAAGATGTTAATTATCCATTTGCTTCTCTCTTTCTATTAGTATCCTTTGCCCTTTTTTTCTGTTGGGATGTTGTAGTTTTTAAATGATTCTTGAGATCCTTTATCTATTAAAGGATACTGGCTCATTTGCTTGTCAAAGCTGCTGAAAATATTCTTCCTTCAGATGTTCTGTCAATTAACTTTGAACTGTTTATCATATCTTTTCTTGACAGGACATTTTAATGTTTGCTTAGTGAAATGCTTCGGAGTTTTGTGTCTTACTTAGAACGGTATACCAAATCTGGAGGTTAAATACATTTTTAAAATTCTTCTGTTTACAAACATCAAAAACAGATTCACAAATATAGTGGACAATTTGGCGACGAACAGAGGGGAGGGGGATTGGGGGCTGGGAGAATGGGGTGAATGGTTAAAGAAGTACAAATTAGTAGTCGATAGTTGGTCTCAGGAAACGGGGAGCATGGCATAGAGAATGCAGTTAGCATTAATATGATGGCTAGGCGGAGGGTCAGGGGAGGGAGGGAGCAATTGGGGCGATTGTTTTACGAACTATATAGATGTCTAACTAATGTACTGTATACTTGAAACTGATTAAAATAAATAAATTAATAAAAAACCTTGTGATAGTAATAGTGGCCAAGCACTACCTTACTAGAATGGCTATAATTAAAAACAGAAAAGAAAAGAACAAGCATTAGCATTGCTCTTGGAAATGGGGATGTAAAAGCTGGGTGCAAAACATCCTCATAAAAAGTGATAAAATATACACACACTCTGGGCAGTGGGAGATCTGGTGTGAGCTCCAGGCATCAAAATGTACTCACACCTTTCAAATCTCCAATACAGTACAGCGTGGGTTCTGCTGCTCACAGAGAAGAGCTGCCAGTTCTCTGAGCAAGCTGCCCTTAGGTCTCTCGCTGACCTGCTCCTCCCCACCCTAAGCCATCTCTCCCCAGAGCCACTTTCTCTGCACTCCTCGGGCTATAGTTTCCTTCCAGCTGCAAGAGGGGCAGGCCACTGCAGTGGGACCCCATTCTCAGCCCTCCTTCTCTTTCGCTTTGGGACTTAACACTTACTTCCCTGTTGCCAGCGCCCTCCTGTCTCCCACTTCTCCAGCCCACTTGTCCTCTCCCTAGCTTTGGGCATCAACCTCAGTGAGGACTTGTCTGTCTTCCTTGACCCCCTGCCTCCATCTCAGCAGAGGATTTGGGTTTCAACCTTTGTACCAGGGCATGCCACAGACTTTCCCCGCTGTCTCTGGGCCCTCAAGCTCTTCAGAGCTGCTTCTCTTTCTCTCCAGGCTAGAAATATGCCCAGGTAGGTCCTCCAGATCCTCAAAGGCTCTTAATGCAGCAGTGACATCTCCTGGAATTGGTTAGAAACGCAGAGTTCCAGGTCACCCAAACCTACTGAGTCAGAGTCTACATTCCCACCAGCTTCTGAGGTATTTTAAACACACAGTAAAGTCTGAGAACTCCTTGAGCACTAGCTCTGTGTCCCATCTTAAGCTTGATGCTAGAGTATACGGAAGCAATACCAATTTACTGAGATTTAACCTTGTCCAACAGAATCTAATTAATTGTAACTGGAAAAGAGAAAGACACCTGCGGGGGGTGGGAACCATATCAAGTATTCTAGGAGGATGGGGAGGGCTGTTCTTCCTAAGTGGAAGAGAGAGAGAGAGAGAGAGAGAGAGAGAGAGAGAGAGAGAGAAAATCTAATGTTTTTTGGAGACTTTCATTTGAATTTGCACTAGAGTCCAAGTCCTAATTCTGGTTTTACTGACTGATTCTTAACATGAAATTCTCTGATCTGTTGCCAAATACATGCACTCACGCTAAGTATCACACAATCCTATCCCCCTCCCCTGCCTTGTGCTGGGCTCAGTGTAGGCATGGGTCCCTTATCCTCTTTCTGCCAGGGTGAAGCAGGAGATGCATGAAAAGGAGAGAAGGGTCAGGGTATAAGAACCCAGCTCCCTCTCGACAGGTACTGTGGTGGCTGCCTCCATCCCCTGAGGCTTGACTGCTCCCTGTGGAGTCAGCCTCTTCATATGGGCAAGCCTTTTGGGTTGGGGAACTAGTCTCTCCTTTGCCCTCAGACCCGGGGTGGGCAAGGCTCTGGCAGTTACCAGCATCACATGGCCTTTCAATGATTCCGGACCCCTAAATAGACCCTTCGTAGTGGCCTCCTGTAGCATAAGCCCCGACAGATTTTTTCTGTTTTGTAATGCAAGGTCCTGACTTAAGATTTTATTGCTGAGGCATCCATTTCAAAGCGGCATCCTCTTTAAAGACAGCTATATCTCAAATAAACACATTGCCAGCAACACCACAAGATAAACAGCCAAGCCACCTTCCCCACCAATGTTTCTGTTTAAGAGGTCTTGGTTGATTTCAACAACTGACCATGTGGGCTACTTGTTTGTTACCCCTTCTCTAGGTTTAAATTCCTACTCCTGTTTTAAATTCACTAATAAAGAGAGCTCTTAGAACCCTAGGCTCCCACCCTCAACCCCAATAAAAGTAGAACCCCAGGCCCATGCATGCCTGCCTGCCAGCAAGTTTTTTTTCTCTCTAACTGTGACTTTGCTGTGTGGCCCCAGGTGTGCTGTGTAAGTTTCAGGTCCTATAAGTAGTAAACCTTTTTTTCCCCCAAAGTTTCTTGATGGTTATTGCTGAAGGGAGTCCTGCAATCAGAAGAATCACAACGGCTGACTAGTCATAACATTGGTTATTGTCAAATAAAGTAATAGACAGAGCTACTTTAAAATAGAGCAAGGAGCTGCCATGTCAAAGGAATTGTCTTGCATGTCATACCTCAAATCTGTGGAATGTTAAAAACAGAGCAAAATAACTTTCGGACTAGACCTAAGCAACATTGTGCCCCTAAAAACTGTTTGCAATGATAACAAGAAAGCAGATATTATGACTACCAGACTGAGGACTACAGGACTGAAAATTAAAAACATTATTTAGAATTAACATCACCATGTTATGCTATCTACACCAATAGAAATGCCTCCCTTCTATTGATGTGATTGTTCCCTTTCCCTTTCTCATATATACGCATTGCCTTTGTCTCCTAATTGGAACACTATTTACGGTTTCCGCCTGAATCAGTGTATCCTGAATAGCTATTCTTATTGATCTCAATAAATGCTAGTTGCCTCTCACTTTGAAAGTCTCCTTTATTTTTAGGTTAACATTATCAATAGGCATATAACAGTTCCTCAAATTACCCCACTTGCAAGGACCTCCAGTGTCCTGCTGGGGTTGTGGTAATGACTCTTCCCAGCTGGAAGGGCCCTTTCTGACCACTGTGTCCCTCTCTCTCATTCACAGCCACCCCCTCAGACCTGGCCAAACTCACCATCTCCACTTATCTCCCTTCAGCTCGTCCTCCCCCTGCCCCGGCCCTATTCTGGCTTCTGCCCAGTCTGTGACCCTGCCCAGATGTTCCTGCTTACTCTGCTGGAGGTTACTAAGGCCTTTTCAAGGTCACTTGCCCCTCAACATGTTCCTTCTCCTACCCTGGGTTCTGGCTTCCCTCTGGTCTGTCCAACTGCTCCCTCCATCTCCTTTACAGGGTCCTCCACACATCAGAGTTCTTCAAACTGGTCGAAGCCATTCTGTCCCTCTCTCTCTCCCTCCCTCCCCCACCTCTGTCCCTCTCTCTCTCCCTCCCCCGCCTCTCTCCCTCCCTCCCTCTCCCTCCATCTTGTCTCGTCCCTTCCCTTCCCTTCCCTTCCTTTCCTTTTCCCTCTCTCTCTTTCTCTCTCTCTTTCTCTCTCTCTCTCCTCTCTCTCTCTCTCTCTCTCTCTCTCTCCCACAGCTTCAATTTCCATCCATTTGCTGATAACACTGACAATCCCATCTATTTTCCTAACCTCCAGGCCTCCATCATCAATAGCAGCCTCTTCCGAGTCTCTACTTGGCGCAGTGCCAAGATGCCAAGGGGAGTGTGCCTGTTCTGTCTATGGAACACGGGCAGCCAGAGTGGCAGGAGTGGAGTGAGCACTGAGGGGAGAGCTGTATATTGCTCGTCCCTGCAAACTCTCATTGACCTCTGCAACCCCAGCCTAACATAGTGCCTGACACACAGTACGTGCTCAATAAACATCAAATGACTGAATAACTGGGCTAGCACAGTGCCTGACACATAGTTCATGTGGCTGGTCACTAGATTGGGCTTCGGATGGCCCAAATTTACAGCTCCCTAGGTGAAGTTTGAGTCACTTAAAACCATAATTCTTAAAATTGCCAAATTCAACTTCTGCCTCCAGCCTTCCCCACCCCCGCAGTCACACAGAGGAAAGGCCTGGCCACCTGTATGGTTAAGAAGTCTCTCTGGACCCCACACCCTTCTTTGACACTTCCAGAATGTGGAATGTGGACTTGAGGGGCAGCACACATGCTTGCTCAACATCTGCACCTGGTGAGTGAGACTCCTTAAGCAGAGATGAGACTTCCTCCCCACTCCCACCCCTGTACCCATAGCCTGGCCTCTTGTGAAATAAATACCACCACTCGATGAACACTCTCTGCCCCAGTGAGGCTCAGTCTGGGTTCAGGCCTGGATGTCAGGAGCCCCAAAGATGAAAGGACTAGCTGTAAGACAGGTGTGTCTCAACTGGCTCTGAATTGGGGTGGGGCAAGGAGGGTGTGGGGGACAGAGTTGGGGGCAGGTCCTGCAGCCCCCATCCCCACCATCCTTGACTGGAAGTGTCGGGGCCTGCTCTGGGCTTTCCTTGGCTCTTCTGCCAGGCCAAGGTCTCTATCAAATGTCCTCTATCCTCTGCATCAGGGGCAAGGCCTTGCCTAGGTCTTGAGGAAAGCTGTGGGCAAACCTGTGTCCTAGGGAATGGTGCCCCTAGTCATAAAAGTCATAAGAAATTGGGCATTCTCCCTGCTTAAACCCTTCCAATCATCTCAAAAGAGATACTCTTCTCTCATTTTCATCTTTTAGCATTGTTAGCGACAGATATCAAATGTCACCTCCTCCAAGAGGCCTTCCCTGACTACTTCTCCCATTTAAATTACCCTGTCACCTGTTCAATGCTCCCAGTTGTTTTGCTTTCTACCACTTTTTGGTTGATATAAATATAAACTGGTTTTTGTTTTCCAATGCCTGCCTCCCTCACTGCAATCCCAGTCACATAAGGGGAGACTCCATTGGTTTTACCTACCTCTGAATCCCCAGTGCCTAGAACGCATGTCTGCATACAGCTGGCACTTAATAAATATTTGTGAATGAAGAACAAATCCAGAGCTCACTCCTCTGAGTCAAATTCCAGCTAAGTCTTTGCCCAGATCCATTTCCTTGCTCTTAGCCTTCTGGCTAGGACTGGGGTCCAGATGCACTATCTGTACCTGGCTTAGACTTGGAGCTCAGTGTCTCCAAGCCCCTTACTGCCTGGGGGGCTAAGAGTTTTCCTAGTTTCCACCTTTGTCCCCAGTTCCTGCAGCTGAACCCAGACCTCAGGCTCAGCAATCCTCCTGGATCGAGCCCCTGGCTGGTGTGCCCCTGCCCAGGTGAACTTTACTTGGCTGCCTGGCTCGGCTCCCTGCTCAGCCAGGCCTGCCAATGTCCTGGGTCTGTCCGCTTGGTAGTGCTTGCTTGGCCTGGTTTCCTTTCAAATGTACAGACTCTCAACTGAGACCAGGCCACTCAGCTCAGGGAGGCTTCTTGTTGCATGTCACCTCCTAGGTAGGTAATACACCCAACCTTGAAAGTCACAGGGTATCCGCTATCACCACCTTCTGATACTATAGGATGAATCGATATAGTTTATAAAGCCTTCAGCTTTCCTGAGATAGTGCAATTATGTTGCATTGTGTGTGTGTTTAATTTGTTATCTGTAAACACTTCAAAGCTATTTTTTTTTTTTTTTTTGGTAACCCTGTTTCAGCCTTTCTTTATTTTTCAATTTCCTCTGGAGTATGGTGAGTGAGAGAGAACAAGTAAGCTCACACAGTATGATAGTGGGGACAACTGTTGACAGTAGCACATGCTTTGAAACAAGCTAAATACCCATTAACAGAGGACTGGTTAAATAAATTAGGATATAGCCGCACTATGGGATTACTATTCTGCTCCAAACACTAAAAGTATAAAGGAACTCTTGATTGTATGTGCACAGAGCACACTCAGAAGGATATGAGAGACACTGGTGGTGACACTGGCCACCTCCGAGGAGGAGACACTAGGTGTCTGGGAGCAAGTGGGGCTAGGCTTTTCACAAGGCGGGGCTTTGAACATGCTTTTGAATTTTGAACCTTGGGAATACTTTACCTATTCAAAACCAACTTAAATTAAAAGCTGAAAGTGATTGAGAGTATATGACACAGTAGAAGGTATTGCCTGGTCTGCCCACCTCAGTCCAAGCAGACTCAGATGTACCTCAGCAGCCTCCTTCTGTGCCCTCCAGTTGGGAGCGCCAGGAAGCCTGTGTATGACTCTGGGAAGGCAGGGAGATGGTTATTTCACAGAAGGGCCTAGGGCCAGCTGGCACCTCCTCTGGGCTCAGTCTAGTAGCCATGGCTGTAGGAAAGCTCAGAGAGGCCCACCTCCACTGGTACCTTTCTCAACACCTATTATGGGGTGAACAGTGTTCCCCCCAAATTAATGTTTTTGAAAATTTGAAATCCTAACTAACTCCTAACACCTCAGAATGTGATCTTTTTTTTTTTTTTGAAATAGAGTCATTGCATAACTAAGATGAAATCATGCTGGGGTAGTGTGGGTACCTAATTCAATATGACTCCTGTCCTTAATAAGAATGAGATATTTGGAATACACACACACATAAGCAGAACTCCAAATGAAGATGAAGCCAGAGACTGAGGTGATAAGTCTACAAGCCAAGGGATATCAAAAATTGCCAGCAAACCACCAAAAGCTAGGAGAGAAGCATGAAACAGATTCTCCCTCATGGCCCTCACAAGGAACCAACCCTGATCTTGAACCCAACATTTTCTTGGACTTCCAGCCCCCAAACCTGAGACAATAAATCTCTGTTGTTTAAGTCACCAGTCTGTGGTGGCACTTTATTCTAGCAACCCTAGGACACTAATACATGGGGTTTCTAGAGAAACTGGAAAACTGAATTCTGCCTCATCCCCTGATTTAGAATCACCTGAATCCTTGATTAAGTCCAGATCTCACTGTCCCAGACTTCCAAGACCATTTTTGTTCTCTGAGAGACCCCACACCAACCTGGTACTTACTGTTGCAAGTCATGTCCTTGCAGACCATAGTAGACAGGACCTTGGACATCCTGGCAGAAGAACAAGGGCTTGCTGCAATACTTGATCTCGGCTAAAGGAGGTTCCAACCTGGGGAGTGACATAGTGCTTGAGCCAGATGGCCTCTAGGCCCACAGCTCCCATACCCCTCAGTGGCTGAGAACAGCTGGCATTTACTGAGGTCTCACCATGTGGCCAAAATCTGCCCCTCCCTGCCTCTCCCTCCCACCCCCACCCCCACTCCCACTCCTATCCTCTCTTCCTTCCCTGACTTGATTCTAGCTGTCCTGCCTAATCTTTCTGTTCCTAGAACTCTCCAACCATGGTCTGCCTCAGGGCCTTTGCATTTGCTGTCTCCATCCCCCCAAAATGTTCTCCCATACCCAGCTGTGGGTAGAAGGGTCCTCTCCCTTCAGGTCTGAACTCAAAGTTCACCCCTTCGCAGAAGCCTTCCCCCGACCCTCACCCCACCATATGATCTCACTTAATTTCCTTCTTTGCAATTACCTACCATCTTATTTAGCGCTTTAAAAAATATCGCCTATTTCCCCCTAGAATGTAAACTCTACGAGAACAGGGTCCCCCCGCCCTGATTTGCAGCGCGTGCACTCATCAAAGCACCTGACACGTCCTTAACATTGAGTGACTTTTCATTTTGCAGCAGAGGCAGCGAAGTAGAGGTTCAGCGAGCGAGGTGTCCAAAGTCAGAGTCAGGAAGGTCAGTACCTGAGATTCCTTGACTCCAAAGCTTGCGCCCTTCTAGACACATTCCTTCTATACTCCCCACAGACAGAAACCCGGGTGCCAGATTGGCGGGATGTGTGGTCGGGGCATAGAGCAAGGGTGCACAAGGCATGGAGTGGCAGAGGGATAACAAGGTGGGTGAGAAAGCAAGTATACTGGCAAGGAAAGAAAGGCAGGAAGTCTTGCAAAGGGGCCTTGCGAGGGGCGCCCGAAGGTCCCGCTCCCGGCCCTGAGAACATCACGATCCTGCGCACACCCCACCGCTGCCCCGCGCGCACCCACCGGCCCCACGCTCCCCGGCTCTCTCCGAAGCTTCAGGGCCGCGGTTCCCAGCTCTGCGCGCCCGGGCCTTCGGTTTACGTCGGCATGGCAACTGTTTTCCTGAAGGCTGGGACCATGATGTCACAAAGGATGAGGAAGCCGGGCCGCATAGGGGTGGGGCCTGTGGGCCGCAGGGTGGGGCGCCGGGAGGCCCAGAGTCGCGCTACTTCAGCTCCCCGGCACTGCCGGGACAGCGCCGGAATATGTAGTGAGCAGCAGTTTCTTTCCTCCGTAATCCATTATTCCGCTCTCCTGCTCTTTTTATTTCATTCCCTGATTCACTGATTCAATGTGTTCTTCCATATGCATGTAGTCTTTTCTGCGGAGTGGACCTCGCTTTCTCGAGGGGCGGCTGCGATTTCTGATCTGACTCTGTGATTCTGACTGGTAGAAGCTGAGTCACCTGCCTGCACCTTCTGTCTCATAGGCAGGAGTCTAAGAGTCCCTGCCTCCACCCTGGCTGCAAGGGAGGTGGGAAAGAGAGCTTCTACAGTGGGGCCGGGGAGTCCTCTAAACCCAGGAAGGGTGTTGAGGTGTAGGTGGTCTACCAGTGGGACAAGTAGCTTGTGTCTGTTCTCCACGGCACCTGGTCTCAGGTCGCTCCTGCAGCACTGACTCAATGTCTTTGTTTCTACTATTACC